CCCCCCGCCCCAAATGAGGCATGTTTGGGGTTTTTTCCTAACGAAGTCAAAAGATACACTCTAGATCTAGTATTAAAACTTTGTAGGAGTCCTGTCAGTTCTCTGTCGTAATGCTTACAGTAACTAGGGTATGGAGCAATAACTCATGGAAACAAAATAAAACCCAAAAAATTTTTCCAGTAGCCTGTTTTTACTTTCCTCTGGTGACTGGCTGGGTGAGGTTGTACTTCGTGGTTGTTTGAGTTGCCTTTTTTTTTTTCTCCTGCTCAGAAATGTGAAAAAGTGCTTGTTGAAGCTGTTTGTGCACCTCTGAGTCCATAAAAAGTTCCCCTTCTCCCAAGGTTTAATTCCTTCATCCTTCCTGTGCTTTGGGACTGAGAAGGACTTAAACTGAGGTAGTGAGCTGCAGCACACCCAGATGGAAAGGCTTCTTTGTGGCAGCAGCCACCTGGCTCAAAATAAATTTGGATGGCTCTGTGTGGTAAAAATGGGGTCGTGTAACTAGACTGGAGCTAACGGAACATTTGTTTAATAATATATCTGATAAATTAGAGGCCATGTGGTGTAGCTGTGGGACCTGATCCATAACTGAAGTACTGTTTGGAATAAAAACTTCAATAGAAGCTCAGGTAAATTGATTATGTCACTGTTTTCATTTAAGCTGACAGTGCTGTTTGTAACTGTGGGAATCTGGCTCTACCTGCCCTTTTAAACTGCATATATTTTAAATATCTTCTCGTCCGATGGAACGTAAGGGTGATAGGCAGTGGTGACTATCTGAACTCCTTTCTTTCCTCGTTTACAGTGTAGATTAGCTGTTTCAGTGATTTGCAGTTTATGAAGAATCCCCACTAAGTGAATTCACCATTAGACAAAATATTTACCTAACTGTAAGCTTTCTTCCTTCCCAGAGATCACAGGTCTCCTGCCCCAAAGTCACCAACAAGTCACTCTCTACTTTTTTAACCGCACAGAATCACAGAATGGTTTGGGTTGGAAGGGACCTTAAAGACCATCTAGTTCCAACCCCCCTGCCATGGGCAGGGACACCTTCCACTAGACCAGGTTGCTCAAAGCCTCATCCAGCCTGGCCTTGAACACTTCCAGGGATGGGGCATCCACAGCTTCTCTGGGCAACCTGTTCCAGTGCCTCACCGCCCTCTCAGTGAAGAATTTCTTCCTGATATCTAATCTAAACCTCCCCACTTTCAATTTAAACCCATTACCCCTTGTCCTGTCACTACAGGCCCTTGTAAAAAGTACCCCCCCAGCTTCCTTGTAGGCTGCGCGTAGCCCTCCTGCAGTCTAACATGGGCTAAAAGAATGTTACGTGTTTTTAAAAAGTGTGCGTAGTGCTTGTTAAAATTTGAAGTTCGATGTGTTTGGGACATTCAGCTTTTCAAGATGTCCCGTTTATGCAAATAGCTCTACTCACCTGGGAGGGACTGGCCGTCACTGTGTTGTTTGCACAGTGACGTCCTATGTATGCTTCCTTCTTGGGGTTGGTGGGGGTTTTTTTCCTGTGCTGCCATGTAAAGTTAATAGCAGAGTCAGGGGGGAGGAAGGAACAGTCTTTCCCTGTTCACTAGAACAGGCTGAAATCAGTGCAGTTCTTCATCACTGGAGTGGCTCTGGTTTCACTACATAGTGTCTACATGAGCCTCCTGAGAATTTCTACATGAAATAAGTTGACTTTCACACTGTTTTCTGTTTTTCCTCTATTTTGTTCATAGCTAAATGCTGGCACCCTATTAATAATTCCATTATTCTTTTGGTTTTGTCAGGAGACATACAACTCTTAAGGTACTAATGTTCTCTGTCTAAAATACTGCTTAACCATTTTCAGAGCCATTTTTACTCTTCTCTTTCTCTGCTAACGTTTTTCTTTCTGTGCGTAACAGTCCCCTGGCCTGCCTACAGCGCAGGGCTGTCCCCCGTTGCTGTGTCTGTAGGTTTACCCTGCCACACGTCCCTCTCTATGGGGGAAACTCAGCGCTGGTGTAAGCCCTACTTGCGCCACTGCAGCTTGGTCCGGCTGAGCAGCCGTGTCTCCACAATGCCTGCTTTCTACCGACACAGCCTTTCTGCTAGGTGCCTGTGCTGGGCTCACTGCGTACCCCTAGTCTGCTTGGTCCCCCTGGTTCCTGCACAGGCTCTAGAGAAGTGATGGTGAAACTCTGGGTGAGGCACAGTCTTTCTCTTGATTTAAACCTTAGTCACAGACCAGTTTGGGTTGGAAGGGTCCTTAAAGACCATCTAGTTCCACCCCCCCTGCCATGGGCAGGGACCCCTTCCACTAGACCAGGTTGCTCAAAGCCTCATCCAGCCTGGCCTTGAACACTTCCAGGGATGGGGCATCCACAGCTTCTCTGGGCAACCTGTTCCAGTGCCTCACCACCCTCTCCGTGAAGACCTTCTTCCTGATATCTAATCTAAACCTCCCTGCTTTCAATTTAAACCAGTTACCCCTTGTCCTGTCACTACAGGCCCTTGTAAAGAGATGCTTCCTAGCACTCTGGAATGTTCCCAACCAAGTGAAAACTATTCCCAAGTGACTGGCCTTAAATGTTCAGAGAAGTACAGAGCCCCTCTTCAGATGACTGCTGCTCTGGCCCATTTAAGCAGCAACATTTCTTGGTCTGAAAATATTAATTCAAACTAACACGTCATTGATTTAGCAGCGGAGGTGGGATTATCCTAGACTCAGCTCTAAATTACACTGTGTGCTTATGCCACATTAGGAACCTTTTCTTGTCACTTATCAGAAACTAAATGCCCTGGAGCAATCCGCCTGTAAAGTAGGAACTAAGCAGATGGGGTTTTACTAAGGAATAGATATGAGACCTTGTTTGAGTTACAACTTAAAATTCTTCTGCTCCCATCAGTAGAAAAAGTGGGACTTCAGTTTTGATGTTGCCTTCTATCCAGCAGTGCCTCCTGCCTGCCTGGGATGGAAAAAATCCTTCTTAGTTCTTCCAAAATGTTGGGGGGGCTTGTTTTGGTGCAGCCTGAAAAATGTTGGTCTCTGTGTAGCACCTGTAAAGCATTGGTCTGAAGTCACCTCTGAATGGTCAAGAACACGGTTCATTCAAAGCAGCCTGATTTTTGTAAGAGGCTGGCTCCATCTCCTCTGGCTCAGGATCCGCTGGTTTAAGTTCTGAGCTGATTTTTTTGCTGGTTTGTTTGTTGGTTGCTTTTTTTTTTAAAAAAAAAAAACATTCCGTAGTGTTGAGGAACTAAGTAATTCTTTCCGTTTCAGGCACATGGACTCCATTTAACCCAGCAACAGTGAGGTCGATCCTCGGTGAGTGCCGTGGCGTGATGTGAAACGGTCGAGGTGCTGTTTCGTGATCTGTTCAGACGACTGACGCAGCTGTCAAGTGCTGCATCGCTGTTGTTTTTTCTCCCGGCAGCCCAGCAGTAGAGAGTTAAACGCAAATGTTTTCCCTTTTGAATAACAAGGGAATGCCCCTTTGCAGGCACATGTGTGAGTTTGTTGAAGCGGCCTGAGAAAATGCGTCTGCACCAACTGAATAGATAGTAAATGTAATGTCTGTGTGGAGGAACTGTCAGCTTAAATATGCTGAAAAGGTATTATATAGTTTGTCTTTGGAACTAGTTTCTTCTGTCTTGCATTTTAATCCTCTGTTCTGCTCCGAACAGACCAAACAGAAGCTTTACAATGTCTGAATTCTTTAGTGCCCTAAACTAAATTGCTGGCAATGTGGAAGACGGTGGTGGTAGAACAGGAGGACAAAAACCTGAGCACCAAAACAGTTTGTTGTCTCCCAGTTCACAGATCCAAGGGACTAACTTGTTTTCTCGCTTTTTCCTAAGTATTCAGGAGCAGTCGGGGTTCTGTCCCGGTGAGACGTGCTGCTGTGTCAGTGGCGCAGTCAGCAGCTCAAGCGCAGGTGCATGTCCCAGCACTTAGGGCAGTCAGTGTCCTTAGAGAAGGACACCCCCCTGCCCTTCATCACTGTATAATCAATCTCAGCCCTTCGTATTTTCAAACCGGAAATGATAAACCCAGGAAAAAATAAGCATTCTGCGATTCATCCTGGTCCTCTTTTAGCTTGTTTTAGCTCTTCCTCCTGCGGTGGGTGACTTGTTGCTTTTTTTGGCAGAACTCCAGCACATGGCTTGCGTTTCAGCAATTGCTTTTCTCCCTGCCGCGCTTCCCGCAGAGCGCTCCGGCTGCCGCCTGAAAATACTCTGAGATCTTCCCCAGGGGGTGGGATGGTTAAGGCTTTATACGTGCTGCTTGTTTTTCATTTCAGGCATGTTTGACAGAGAAAACAAAGGTGGTGTGAACTTCAGCGAGTTCACAGGCGTCTGGAAGTACGTCTCAGACTGGCAGAATGTCTTTCGAACGTACGACAGAGACAATTCTGGAATGATTGACAAGAACGAGCTAAAGCAAGCACTAACAGGTTTTGGTAATTCATTTGTAATTACGCTTTTTCTGACTGGGTTACGTCATCAGTTGAGCTGCTTATTGCTAGGGCTGCACTGCTCCGGCCAGGAGACTGAAAAGGAGGCAGGTGAAATGCAGTTACCCCTTCAGCTGTGAGATATCCATGCCATGAATGCTTTTTTTTAAAGCCATTTCCTGTCCTGAAAAAAGTGACAAGGTACTGGATAAAGCTTTCCTCTTCTAAACCCTTGTCTGTGCCAAGGTAACATTCTGGTGGCCAAAGAACTTTCGTTCCATTGGCTTCATGTACAAATCTTGAGCTGCAGCCCAAGCCGTTCCCTCAACCAACCAGCCATTAGGTTTCCTGCGCCCGTAACGATGATTAAGCACGGGGTTTAATGCCTGCATTTTGGTTTAACACCTTTGTTGGGGGGGGAGGTTATTTGGGCATAAAAAACTGTCTCTTGCAGCTCCTTGCTGCTTTCTGGTTTTGTCAGACATGCCTGCTGCTCGGCCTAGCTCTTAGAGGAGGGCTGCAGCAATGGAACCCCTTTAAAGCAGTTCTCTTTCCCAAGGTTACCGGCTGTCTGATCAATTCTACGATATCCTTATTCGGAAATTTGACAGACAAGGAAGAGGACAAGTTGCTTTCGATGACTTTATTCAGTGCTGCGTGGTTTTACAGGTAAGAAAGGAGATGCGCTTCGATGTCCATTCAAAACCAGTACCTCTGTTTCTGAAGCTTCCACGGTTCTCGTTCACTGGAGTGCTGGATCTAGGCCTTGCTTAGGAGTAAACCGTTTGGCTGAAGTGTCCACAAGGTGCTAGAAACACCTTCAGTTAGTGGTCTTCACTGGTTACCCATTCACATCACCAGTAAATTCGATGCAGGTGTTTTTGACCTGTTAAATGTTTATTTTTATGGGGTAAAAAAAAAAAAAGTGAAGTAGTCTCAGTGTTGCAGAAGGAAAAGGCAACATGATTTCCCTAGTTCAATGCACATGCTTCTTCGGGACCTTGGCTGTGTTGAGAACTGGAGCGTGTCACATCCTGTGGAGCCCGTAATCCTCCTGATCAGAAGGGTGAGGGTTTTGCGTATCATCCCTTTAATGCTCTGACCAAAAGGAGTTTGACCCAGCAGCTGAATTTTTCAGTCCTTTGTCACTGCTGTTCCTGCAGGTGCAGTGACAGACATTTAAAAAACAAGTCAAATCCCCTCTGCATGCGTGACTATGTACATGCATAGAGGGAACTGTACTTTCACGGGTGCACCCCTTTGTTGAGAAAGCACGGGATCCTCACCCCAGTGCTTAAGGTTTCCCTTTTCCGAAGTGTAGGTAAGCCTTCGGGAAAGGCTGAGCTCCAGTGGGGCAGGAGGAGGGTTTATCACCTCCTGCCACGGTAGCTTAAGGCGGGAGAACTGTGCCTTGTTTCCCGCCCCCGCGTAAAGGCAGCTATAAAAAGCCGAGAGCTCTCGGCCGAGAGCTTCCTCGTGCGTACAGAGATTGCCGCGTGTCTGCGGGGACATGGATGGCATTCCCACGGCTATGGAAACTCCGGTGGCAAGGGGAACGTGGCAGTCTGAACTTTCCCAACGCACAAAACTGAGTGGGTGGGTGTCTTCTCTCCCCTTTTCAGAGGCTGACGGACGTGTTCCGACGGTACGATACTGATCAAGATGGCTGGATTCAAGTGTCCTATGAGCAGTATCTCTCCATGGTCTTCAGCATCGTATGACGCTGGTAACTAGGAATCGCACACTGGCGTTACCCGGACTGGAGCTGCCAAACCCTTCTGTACTGCATAACATGACGGATGTATTATAATAATGGATATAACTTCATGTTCTTAAGTTTCCTGTGTTGGTCATCACCTCCAGCACCTTGTACTTGCGTTCGTTTTCAGTCGGTAGGGCTGTACGACGTGACCATCGCTGCTTGCTGTAGCACGGAAAGCACAGAGTCGACATTTACCCGGTGCAATGTCAAACTTAACCTTCTTCCACATATCCTGCATGGGGAAAAATGACTCTTTAGAGACGCCAAATTAAAATAATGCTTGTTAGTTCGTAAGGAAGTTAAAAGTCAGAAGTTGCACAATGTGTTTTGCATGTGCCTTACTTTTGTAAGAGTTTAATGTGTTAATTTTTAATACAGAATTTAAAATTAAGTAAAAATACCAGATCAACTTTTACAGACTACTTCACTTTTGTACAGCTTTTTTTTTTAAGGAGGCGGTGGTTTTATTTCTGTGGTTCCGGGGTCCCTCTCACTTCCCACTGGAGGCCTTTTTTCTTTGCCTTATCCCTTTATTTCCTAGCTGCCCTTGGGACATCTTCAAACACCACTTCCTCCACACCTGTGCCCACGCCTGCCTTTTCCTCAGTGAGCTCCCTACAAAACTAAACTCTCTCCCATTCCTCCAACTCTGTAGTTCCTGCTGCTCGGCGGGCTCAGGTGACACCAACACCCTTCCTATTTGTGCTGCGGCCTTGGCGTGACAGTCAAAACACACTTAGCCCTGTACCCTCCATCCCACCACCTACAGCTGGAGGGGGACTCAGCGGGAAAACAGATCCAGCAGAAGTCAGTACTGCTTCCTGTCGCTCGCCACCTCTCCTGCAGGAGCTCTGAAGCTGTCACTTGGGCGCAGCAGAGAAGTTAACGAGCACTCTTAGGCTGCTCTTTCATCTTCCAGCAGCGGAAAGGAAAATGGACACTGGGGAGAAAACTGCCTCCATCACTCCTTCAGCCCCATATGAGCTGGGTTTGAGGACATAAACAGACACCTAAAGCCAGGCACTCACCAGCAATTGGCTCACAGGTGTGGCAAAAAGAAAACCGAAGCATGGACTGCTGAGAAACATTGTGAGCTGGTGAGGATTTCTCCCCTAATTTGCAATTTTGATTATTTATTTTTCCCCATTACTTATCTGATTGCCTTATAGCTTCTACTGTTTCTTAGTACGCTTCTGCCAGCAGAACCAAGAATTTCTACTTCAGTGTGGATCGGCCCCTCGAATGAATTTAAGTCGGTGTGACCATTTCACTCTGAACATGGTAAAAACCCCTGCATATACTTTTTTTCCTCTGCAGAAATGAAAGTAATATGCCCCATTACATACCAGTCCCCTAGAACAGATTACGTTTTCCTCACGTAGCATCCCGTTAGGACAGGGAATACTTTTGCTGTGACATTCTCTTCTTCATCTAAGCAGAAACATAGTGCATCGAATTTCTAAAAATATGCTAATTATAAAGCATATTATACCTGGTCATTGCAGGTATATCCTTTCCTTGTGATCCATTCAAAATGCTGGGAGTAAGACCAACAGTGTCTTCATCGAATGTCCTACGTGAGCTGCCCCAGTGGCGGTACGCTCCGTACGAACCGCTGCCAGAAAAGGAGTACGGAGGTGAGCAGAGCTCGCTCTTGTAGCCTGCCTTCTGATGCCTGAACCCTTGACTCCTAGACTCCTGCTTCCAGCTAGAGCTCTGCTTCCACCTTGAGTCCTGGTTCCACCTGGAGCTACCTCTTCCTGAAACAGCAGAATTGGCGGAAGAGGTACAAGTATGCACAGACTCATCATTCCCATAAGAGGAAGAGCTTTGCAAAGGATAGGTTGAGGAGTATCTTCCAGGCGAGGGATATGAGGCAGATGAATTGGGATAGGGTAATCCTTCATCACTTGCACTCCTTGGTTTTGTACTCGCCTGCTGCTTCCTCCAGTTTGTACTCTCCCTGCCACATGCAGTTCTGGTATCGGGGACCTTAATTCCCCGCGGATCGCTGGACATACGTTCTGCCGAGTACTTGCTCGCTGGGCTCGTCTCATAGGAAGAGGCCCCAGCAGCTGAGTTACTGCCCGAGGCAGAGCGGCTGAACTGCCTCAGACACCACTGCAAAGTCATTAGATCCGAGTCCATAGGAAGCTGATCCATCATCTGTTTGGTGACAGTACGAGTTGGCAGGAGCAAAAGAAGCATCTGCAGAACGCTCTTCATACGGAGACAAAAAGCCTTGTTTCCAGTTAGAATTTCCTGCATAAAAAAATAAAGGACACTAGAAGTTAGCAAAATCGTAACATATCAACTGAAAACACAACTACTTTCAGGTTTTATAGTGTTCTGTTTCCCTTTTTCCTGCCTTTATGTCTTACGGGAGTCCGGCATCTTTTCACCCCACAGTCCTCACCTTAAGTAGGTGCGGGAAGGTTACTGCCTGGACACCCAACCACCTTTCCTGCTGTAGCACTACTCCCTGAGACCGTCAAGGACACGAAGGCTTCAGCAAAGGACACCCCGAACTGGCTCCGAGGGCGAAGACGCGCAGTGCTACAGGTGGCCAGGGAAGTCAAGCCTTGCCATCTGCACGGTGCTAAGAGTAGACTTAAACCTGAAGGACACATTACCTTTGGATTTTCCATACAGCTTATAGTGTTTCGGGATGCTTTTCCTTCCTGGAAATTTATCTTGAGGTATTGACATCAGTGGCTTCAGACTGTTGGCACCGTTAACCTAGGGGAAGCAGAAGGTCAGAATGTCTCTTTTTAAACTCCAATCCTGAGCATTCTAGAAACCAAAAAAAGGCAAGTTCCCCACAGAAAGCTAGCAGAGTGCCGTTTTAGGTGGCAGCAAACTCTGTATGAAGGACGTGTCCGTCTGTTTTCACAATTACCACATTAAACCACAAAAGTATTGTTTGGAAGAGGCAGGTGTCCAAGGAAGACAATGCCACCTGTTTCAGACTCCTTTAAAGGCCCGTATCCCTCGGCGTCACCTGAACCGCACAACCGGTACAGCCGCAGATCCCGTCCCTAGCTGGGGAATGCAGAACACATGAAGGCTCGGCTGCTGCCCGAGACTGCGTGACAGCAACAATTCTTCACTAGCTCCCGAGAACTGTACGGCCTTCAAACGCAGGGCATTTTGAACATTGAGTTCTCCAAGAGGTGGCAGCGGCGTTAGCACGGAGACTGTTACCACAGCTCAGCTGATGTAGAATGTCTTTGAGCAACCTGGTCTAGTGGAAGGTGTCCCTGCCCATGGCAGGGGGGTTGGAACTAGATGGTCTTTAAGGTCCCTTCCAACCCAAACTGTTCTATCATTCTATGAATGTACTGTTAAAGCCTAAGAAACCAGCGGGAAATACCCTTCAGGAAAAACACACGCTGAACTGTGTGAACCAGAATCTTTTGTACAAAGATTCTGGTCCTTCAGACCCTTTTTTCTACAGGTATTCCATTGTTATGCCACGCAGATACAGAGGTTTGCAAGGGCTGACGGGAACATCTCACCTACCTTAGGGTGAACACATCAAAGCCCTCAAGTGGGAGCAGAGCTACAAGTCACCACAAAGGCAGACTCGCCCACAAAAGGAACGTGACCCATCTGGGTAGCGCTGAAAGCCTGAGTGGCCTTAGAAGAAAAGCTGTCACACAGGGACCAACTGCAAAGGGAGGATGGCACCAGACACAGTGAAGCAAAACGGTGCCAGAAAGAGCGGGAGAACGCACACAAAAGAAAACCAAAGCAGACAGAAGGTGATGGAAAACACACGGAACCATGCCATGCAATTAATGGATTTGGCACTTAGAACTTGTAAAACAAGCAAGTTGTTTAACTGGGGGTTTTTGACCTACGTCTGAACTGTTACAGCTTGGCAGGGTGTCAACACCACGAGCTCAACCCCTCCTTCCCCCCCAGTGGCAAAACAACTTTGGTCAAGATTAAGTGACTTACTGCCGCTTTCTTCTCACAAAAGGCCTTCAAAGCTTCTGTGAGTTCCTGGGTGATACGGACAACAAGCGTCGCTTCCGAGTCTGAGGCGATACGAAAAGTCTCCTGTTGAAAAACATGGTTAGAATCCATCACCAGGGTGCGGAAGGGTCACACACACCAAGGGGTCACAGTTACACTTCGATGTTGGTCTAACCAGGTTTATACTGCCGGCCGATACACACGTATACGCGCACACACCCCGCTGTGGAACAACACCACAGTGAGTTATGGCCTGAGAGAGAGCAACGCGTAAACCTGGGTGTCCGTGCCACTCCCCACGTTCATGCCAACCATGAACGTTTTGTTGCAGATGGAGAAGGGCAAAGTCCTACATTTACACTGTCCCTGCAGAAAACTGAGTAAGAAGTAAGCTCAGCACCATCAAATGCCTTTGATTCCCCCATTTTAGTAGCAAAAAGCTAAAGGTTTCCATTATAATTTTCCTGTGTGTAATTTTGGGAAGAGATACCAGAAGATACTGATAGAATTCCATAAAGTGCAGATCAATAGTGGCTGTCTTCTTCATGCCCCAAGAGACTGATCAGTAAGTGTATGAAGTCAGAAGTGACTACAGCAAGTTAAAAGAATATTGGCAGCATGCCCTAAGGAATAGCTGCGATTCCTGTCGATAAAAATCAATTCACTGAGCACCAGGCGGTTTTGGTAGCTTACTGATTGTCCCCAGACTTGCTTTTTCTCTACCTTTTCCTAAAGCCACAAGTAACCACAGCTTAAAAAGCAAAACTGAAAGAGAAAAAACCCCTCTCTCTGCTCGGTGACACAGCAGACCTCTTAAACCATTCTACTGGTGACTGCAGCATATAAACACAATTCAGTCCTAAATGAAATGCCGTAATTGCCTTGGGTACAGAGCGCGACGTGCAGAGAGTAAAAATGGTGAATGTAAACTGCCAGATATTTTCACAACATAAACCCAAAAGGCAAACTGAGGCTTAACACGCCGCTAACAGGGACTGACCTGGTGAAACTTCCCCACTCCAACACCAGCTGCTGTGCTCGCCTATCACCCAGTGCCACTTGGCTGTCCGGTTCTGCTGCAGCAGCACAGCCACAGCACCACAGGCAGCAAGACCGGGCCAGCTCCTCCCAGTCAGCACTACCAACAATCCCAGTACACACAGGGCTGCCAACAGCCCTCGAGCAGCACCGGTGCTGCTAACGCTGCTAGGCAGGGTGGCTCCTCGGCAAGGGCAGGGCGATCCAGAGAGCAGGC